AATGTCTAGGTTCGAATCTCGACCCAGATATCGGCTACCTGATTTAGGTTTCTGTGGTTTTCTTCATTCCTTCTAGGAAAATGACGAGATGGTACCTCAAAGTAGGCTACGACTACTTATTTCCTTGTACTTTACTATTTATTATTCACTAATTATCCTATCATTAAACTGAACATGACCGAGCTACTGACAACGTCATTAAGTCAGCTACAGAAAGGTTAAATAAATTAATATAATATAGTCGCCGCCGTCAGAACCTGAACCTGAAATCTATTGAACGACGTAATTAAGTCACGGAATCGGGCTGGGAACAAGTTGTAAAAATAATATGTTTTTGTAATGTTATTTAAATGGTGATAAAATATACAACTATTATCTGCTATTTGTATAAATGTGGAAATTGGTCTGTTACCCTCAGGGAACATTACAGAACGAGTTGGTTTGTAAATAGGGTGATATGCAGAACCGACAGAAAATAACAAGATGCTGGAGAAAATTACATAATGACATGTTTCAGATATTGCCCTATTCGCCAAATAATTAGGGTAACCAAATTAAGGAGGACGAGACTGGCAGGGCATATAGCACGCAGGAAGTGAGAGAAGAATACATAGAAAATTTCATCCAAGCAATAAACCTGTTGGCTCCATAAAATACTGAGAATTTGTTTGCCAACAGTCAGTGGGCTTACAGATGGCGGTCCATGGTTTAATTTACGCAGGTAATTTATTATTGTATTTTATATATTTACTATAACTGAGAAGAAGGTATTAAAAAGGTAGCTAAATTTTTCGTATTCTTTATTTAGCGACTAAGTATTTTTTACTGAACATATATATAAAGTTTCATGTGAGTGGTATCGGTAATTGCTTATGTATTTTCATATAGGAAATTCCATGTATTAAAGTTTAATATTTCACATTCGTATACTGACAGGTATGGAGATTACATCAGAATATATAATATCATGATTAGGTATTGGTAAGCAGCTACCAGCTTATCAAGAAGGACTGTGTACCGCGAAGTTTGTAAGTCAGTCATATCAATCATTTTGTCGAGGGAAATTCTAGGACTGTGTACCGCGAAGTTTGTAAGTTAGTCATATCAATCATGGAGAGCGGATACTTGCAAGCTAAAGAATGAGATGGGAGGATAATTTTGAGATGGATAGTAGGGGAATGTGTTATTATAGTGTCAGGTGAATTGCAATGGTTCGGGATTGTGTTCCATGCAGAACTTTAGTAGCTTATTAGCGACGGGTGTAGTTTGTCTGCATCATCGAACGAAGGTATAGTAATTAAACAAATTGTTGCAGTTAACACAGCAATTAATTATTAATAAACAACAACATATTATAATGCCAAAGATCATCGTCAGGTCCTACATACCGTTTAATACTGACACTCGCAAATAGGGTACCTGAAATATAGGACTGTGCAGACAGGATGTGTGTTTTAAGCAATTTCATGCGAATATAATATTCAGTTGTGTGATGATAATTTTCATAAAATAATTCACAAAAGGTCTATTATTCACACACAAACACACGCAAATATATGTACGTATGTATATCATATAGGGTGCTTGTTTGTGCTATTTTTGGTTTTGGTTCTCTTCAATTCCCTTGCTGTTGCAGTATTTTAATAACATTTAGTGAATAATATGACGATCTGTGGAGCACATTGCCCTGTAGGATGAACGGTGTACACGACCTTTAACCTTTTCTTGAGAGTATCAACTGTTCGCGCCAGACATAGCCCTGCAGTTCTTCAAGCGGGTCTGCTTATCAGAAATTAAGCCAAGTAGCATAGCCTATATAATAATCTTGAACTCTAAACTTGGTCAAGTGCCAGGGAAAGATTCTTCCAAATTGTAGTTGGATGATTGCGGTGAATTTAAAATAGGATGAAAGAACTGAATATAAAGTCCCGTTGTAGTAATTATCTCTTATATAATGAACAATTAAAAGGGTAGCCGGTGGAGGTCTGTTCCTGCGGAATATACAGCACGCTTTGTGTTCCAGAAAGCTTTTAGTTTCTATCAGCGGAAAATTAAAACTGATTTGAATGGGAGGATAATTATAAACATAGATCATCTAATTCAGTCTAGATTTATCTGTTGGATATAACATTAATTTTAGTAATTAAAGATCTGTTTTAAAATGCTGTAAAGTTCTTTATTTTCTTCGAATATTACAGAAAATATGAAATTACATCAGACAGATGTATTTTACCACTTCCTTTATTCATGGGCCTCGACAGTTCAACCGGCGAAGTGAATGGTTACAGAGGGGTTAGTCGAAATTCGATTTCGGTCAGAGATTCATCTCTTTCTTACCTCGTTCAGTTGGGCTACGGGCCCCAACCTAATCTCCTATCGAACGAACGCTGGGAAGGGATTTAACCAGGGTTAAAACGGAATGATCACGAAGCTATCATTTAGTTACATTAAAATTAGTACTCTTTGTAACAATAATTTCTTTATGTAACGCACTGAATATTGACTTTGTATTAGGAAATTAACCTTAGGTATGTAAGATTTGAGGTTTTCACAGCGGTGAGTATGAAGATTTCTGTCTTCTGGGTTGTTGCGCTGTGTAGTATGGTCGATGTTTACCAATGTTTCAGAGGTCATACTGCCTCCGTCATCAGGGCGAATAAAATATGAAGATTTCTGTCTTCTGGGTTGTTGCGCTGTGTAGTCTGGTCGATATTTACCAACGTTTCAGAGGTCTTACTGCT